CGTGTGTGTGTGTGTGTGTGTGTGTGTGTGTGTGTGTGTGTGTGTGTGTGTGTTGGACAAACCCCCCCTACACAGTAGAGCGGTGGAAGGATTAAGCAAAGTGAAGGGGGGCTGTACTGATGGACGGATGAACCAGAGACTGCCTCGATCCCTCCACTTCTCCGGCTCTTTTTTTCCCTCCCTTTCTCTCCCTCTCTCCTTCTTCTTCTTGGCAGAATGTATCCGCCCTTCCCATTGTCACCCATTGGAGTGTAGGGAGGCGTGAGGGAGCTCCGGCCACTGTGTGCTTGTGTGGCACAATGGCCTCGCCTAAGTGCTGTCCTATAAAATGCCTCAGTGCTCTCTAAAAGCAAGCCCTGGGTTCCCTCCCTGCCTTGAAAATAGATGAAGTGCTGAGCGTGCATGTGTGTGTGCATGTGTGTGTGTGTGTGTGTGTGTTGTGTGACATCTGTCATTGAGTTGGCATTTTCAGTATGGAAACCAGTGCCTCGGAGCAGCGAGTACGCTCAGCCATAAAAACACCATTCTGGTTGACCTCAAGGTCGCCCGCGCTGTTATAAACCTGCACAACGCGTGTGTGTGCATCAGTGTGTGTGTTGTGTCTCTGCACGTGTGTTCAGGTCAAGGCTGCGCAATATAAAGGCCGGGGTCTGACCCCAGAGCTACACCACTCAGTAACACAACAAGAATATTGCCATTTGGTGACCCTGACAACATATTCCCCACGAGAGGCAAGTGACAATTAAAGCCACATAAGCAAGCTCAGTGCAAAAATGGTCACTGGTAATAAGGATTTTTCTCATAGACTAGCAATCATTGTGTCAAACTGGATGTCTGTTTACAAGAAATTGGGCAATTTGTTGTCAATCCATCCAATATGCTATCTTTATCAAACTGTTTTTTTATCTTGTTAAGGATAGGACACCAAATGTGTTTAATCAGACATCCCAAAAGTGTAATTCTTATCTTTCTGTCACTGTGCAGTTAATACACTTCAAACTGCTATCAAATTTGTTTTTCATAAGGGTGAAGTGTTGACACTGGAAGTCCAGAAGAAATACTGTTGAATTCACCTGCACTTACAGCAGATTAAAAGGTATTTTCCAAATATCATAACAGAAATGGAACTTGCGCCATTTAGGCAACATCTAAAGGTTTATTCAGCTACAAACATACACAGCAGAAACTATGGCAAAAAAAGAGAAATCATAAAATGTCCCAGAGGCCGTAGAGCCCAAGTGACGGGTAGCTGGAGCTGGGGAGCATAGGGTCAGCAGAAGGGTCCAGAGATGGAGCTCAGCTGGCACTCACTGTGAGACACTTTCTGCCAGAGAGAGGAGAGGAGAGGAGAGGAGAGGAGAGGAGAGGAGGGGAGGAAAGGAATGAGGCTGAGTGTCTGGTGAAAGTCCAGGGCAGTGAAGGCACCACTCCAGGGGCCGAAAGGAACATCTGTGCCCCATTTAGTGATGTTTCTTCTCCTTTTAAATCGCCTCGTTTGAATTCTCCTCTTTTATGTTAGAGTCTCTCATGTTATCCATCTTTCCAGCTATCCATCTATCTCTCTATCTATTCATTCCCACTGCTGGGCAAATAGATTATCACCAGGCCTTGCTCTGTGGCACAGGGGTCACAAGGGGTTAAATGGCAAGTCCAAGGGAACAGTCCAGGTGTGTGTATGTGTGTGTGTTTAACTGTACAGGTGTGTGTGTAAGTGTGTGTGTTTAACTGTACAGGTGTGTGTATGTAATCTCTCTTGGGTGTCAGCACCGGCTCTCCTTTCGACCCCGTGCCTCCCGCGACGCTCTACACTCTGCTCTCATTATTCCACGTAATGACACACACACACACTCGAGCATGAGCGGCTTGCCCTGCGGCCTCTCGCCTCGGGTCCGGACAAACACACGTAAACAAATGCGCGCACACACACACATGATGGTGTCATGGCTTTCTTATCTCCGCTTTTCCTCCCTGTCGCTCCTGAAGAATGTATTGAAGACGGCGGCTAGCGGTGTGTGTGTCTACACATATTTGTACCGTGTGTGTGTGTGGGTGTGGGTGTGGGTGTGTGTGTGTGTGTGTGTGTGTCTACACGTATTTGTACCGTGTGTGTGTGTGTGTGTGTGTGTGTGTGTGT